TAAATTATTCTTGTTTAAAATTTAAAAAAAAAGTATTAAAAAAAATTTGCTTGGTTTCTATTGACTCAACCCCATATGTTCTTTTAAGAGACATTGTTTTTCGTTTAATTGTTTGTGAGTTTTCAAGTTTAAAAAAAATTTACGTGCTTTAAACATTTAAGATCAAAAAAAAATCTCAATATATATAAAAAAAAATAAGCTTAAAATGATTGGTGTGATATTAGAAGTTAGATTAATAATCCTTATCAAAAAATTCTTAAATTTTTACGGAAAATCCTTTTACAATTTAGGAATTTCCTTTCATAGAATTATTAACGGAAAAACTTTTTAGCTTCTTGCTAATAAATTCTTTAAATGAAATACATAATCGAAAAACTATAAAATAATATGATAAATAAATTGAAAATTAAAGAAAAAAATGCATAATACACATGAAATCCGCAACTACTTTCATAATAATACTCTTAAAACAAGACTTATTTGCAACAAATGTGAAGCTAATTATCCTATTGATACAAATTTATCGAATCTTAAAAAGCATTTTGCTAACCATTATAAAAATTTTTATCAATTAATGATAAATAAATATAAAGAAAGAAGCAAACAAATCAAAGAAATAAATCAACTTTTACATTCAAAAAATTCTTTAACCACTCAAAATAATGAAACAACAATTGTTCAAATTCCTAAATCTGTTCAAATTCAGAACGAAGAAGATCGTAATAACGAAGAGTATATTACTGAATGTGAAATTGAAGAAGTTATTAAAATAGGTCAGATTTTACCACCGCTTCAACAAAATAAAAGAAGAATTGAAACTCAAAATAGTCAAGAAAATAAAAAATATAAATTAAAATTTGAAGAAAAAATTGTTAATACAATAGATAATATTGAATTAACTAAAGAAAGTAAAGTTAATATTATTAAAGATGCTATTTCAATTTCTGGCAAATGTAAAATTTTCTTTAAATAGTTTTTTTTGTATAATTTTATTAAATAAACAAATTTTAATTGTTTAAATACTTTTTTTGTGAATATTTATCATCATTGATTTTGAATACCTTTTGCAAAAATGCGAATACTTTTTGCAGAAGTTTGAATACTTTGATTTCTGACCAATCATCATCATTGTTGATTTTGAATACCTTTTGCAAAAATGCAAATACTTTTTGCAGGAGTTTGAATACTTTGATTTCTGACCAATCATTATCATTGATTTTGAATACCTTTTGCAAAAATGCGAATACTTTTTGCAGGAGTTTGAATACTTTAATTTCTGACCAATCATCATCATCGTTGATTTTGAATACCTTTTGCAAAAATGTGAATACTTTTTGCAGGAGTTTGGATACTTTGATTTCTGACCAATCATCATCGTTGATTTTGAATACCTTTTGCAAAAATGCAAATACTTTTTGCAGGAGTTTGAATACTTTGATTTCTGACTAATCATCATCGTTGATTTTGAATACCTTTTGCAAAAATGTGAATACTTTTTGCAGGAGTTTGAATACTTTGATTTCTGACCAATCATCATTATCATTAATTTTGAATACCTTTTGCAAAAATACGAATACTTTTTACAGGAGTTTGAATACTTTGATTTCTGATGATATATTTTCAAACTATTACCAACCAATTAGATTCAAGAAATATTTTCATAAATATTTTATTTACCGAATATTACAATCAATAGAATTTATTGATTTGGTAAAATCATATTGATTATCAATAAAGCCAGAAAAGAAACTTACAGAAAGTTCTAAATTTAAAATTTTATCTTTTGATCGAAGCAGAAAAAATTCACATGGATATCTAATAAAACTAGAAAAAGGAACTTACATTAAACCAATAAAATTACATCTGATTTGTAATTCTTATATATTCATTTTAAAACTTTTTTATCAATAAAGCCAGAAAAGGAACTTATAGAAAGTTTTAAATTTAAAATTTTATCTTTTGATTGAAACAAAAAAAATTCACACGGATATCTAATAAAACTAGAAAAAGGAACTTACATTAAACCAATAAAATTACATTTGATTTTTAAAACTTTTTATACATGGTATTATTGAACAGGTATCTTATTAAATCAAACCATAAAAAGAATTTTCATACAAACTTATTATTTTGTTGTGAGAAAGTTCTTTTCTTCCAACAAATCAAACTATAAAAGGAATTTCATACAAAATTATTTCTTGGCAAAACTGCGTATTTATTTTAAAACAAATTTAACCATAAAAGGTAAATCTATTGTTTCAAAAATCTTTCACTGAAAATTATATTGTTCGAAAAGAAATAAAAGAGTGATCTAATTTTCTTCGTAGTGATTATGTTTAATCACTTACAAATCTTTACAAAATAAAATTTACAATCTAAACTCTTTTTTTTTAAAATATTTTCAAAAATCCTTGTACTTTTCATTTTTTTCTGTGTTATCTTTGGTTTGTTTCTTACAAACCTTTTCGAAGGTGAATATCAAATTGATATTTACCAATATTTAAACAAAATACTTTCATCAAAAATCTTTTTTTTCATATATGCGATAGTTATTTATTTTACAACTATCGCATTATATTCTTTTTGGTTCTGGAATTCATTAATAAAAACTTTTCCAGAACATTTATATATTGAAAGTTTCTTCAAATTAAAGAAGAAACAAACATCTTCATATTTGATGAGAAAAACTTCGTCAGTAAAATACGAATGGAAAGATTGTGATTTTCAGTACAACGAAACAAATTTTTCTTCTTTCTCAAAAAAGTCTTTCTCAACTGACAAGCCAATCGTCTAAGAAAATTTTTGCTAGTACAAAAACTACTATAGATAATTTATTATTGGCGGCATATCTTAAAAAAATAAGAATTTGGTCGCCTTAAAAGATTTTCTGGACGAAGAAATTCATGGAAAAATAAATTGAACGAGAAAGAATATTGTGATGAGAAACATTTAGCTTCTTCTTTATTGAAGCTGACAAATTTGATACAATTTGTCTTCAAAATCAGTAACTCCGAAGAAACGTCGATAAATAA